GAGCAGAAGTGGTTACACTGGTATTTTTAGCCCGGTCATGCAAGCCTGAGTCTGTAGAGCCAGAGTCAGAGACTCACGGCCGTGGGTCTTTTATTTTGCAGTGTAGATGTGGCCCTGGGGAACCCACGCTTCCTTGCTAGCCCCCTCCTGGCCCCACAGACACGTCAAGCAAGAGCGCTGACCAGAAGTCACCCTGCCTAAGTGAACTAAGTGTAAGGGGACTGTTGCCCCCTTACTAACATTCAGTGGGGGTGTTTTGGTTGGCTAACTCCCAGCAGTAAAAGATTGGGGAGACGCCAATGCTCCAGGTCAGCCTCAGCCTCTGAGCCTGATTGACAGGGTGGGCAGGCTAATCAGGGAGTCAGGAGGCCAGGGGGGTCCCGTCCTCCATGTGAGCTGGAATTGCCTGGGTCAGACAGAGTGGGGCTGAGCTGAGGAGAAAGCAGGGGCCCCACTGAGCTGGGGAGCAGAGCCGTGCCAGATCCAGAGGGGCCAGAAAAGCAGCCACAGAACCAGAGACACAGCCCAGGGAGAGCAGATCCTGTGCTGGGAGCAGAGCTGCAGCCACAGAGCCAGGTGTGGTGAGCAAGTGGGGCCAGCCAAAGAGGGACCTTGGGCAAAGGACTCAGTGCAAAAAGACACCCCTAGCCAAGGGTCCTTGCAGGCCAGACTGGGAGGGGGATCTTAACCTGATGGGGGGCTGACGCTGGGAAGAAGGGTCCCGGCACCCAAAGTCCAGAGGTGTGTGGCCACCACCATTGCAAGTGTCCAACCCGCAGCATCCCTGCAGCACGAACAGGGCCTGAGAAGGAGACCTGGGACCTACAAGGAACAGAATGTGAACTGCCCTGATGTTCCAGAGACACTGTTTGTAATGTTCCCTGCCACAGAGCCGGGTGATGTGTTTTCCTTTAACCTTTCCCATTTTTGCTTATTTTTTTTTAAATTAATTGTTAAACAACTTGTATTTGCTTTAAATTGTATGAAATGATCAGTGGGTCAGGGAGGTGCTCAGTGCAGAGAGAGCACCCCAGAGTGGGGACACCCCAGCCCCTGTCCTAGGTGACCACAGCAGTGTTGGGGGTCGAGCCCCCCAGGAATCCTGGGCCCAGCCTTGTTGGGGTTACGAGGACTCTGCCAGACAGGAGAGTGGAAGGGGAGTCATCGAGGGCAGGGAGGCCTCTGGGTAAAGGAAGTGGGAGCGAGGACTCAGCTTCTTTCGCTAGCCCACTTCACCAGGGTAGTGCAGAAGCCAGGAAAGTTCCCCACAATAGCGGAACCATTCCCCCGCTTACACAAGTGAACACGGGGGCATCTCGGGATATGAAACCAACTCCCCACATGACCCTCTGGGGCTTCCTAAACAGGCAAAGCACAGAGCTGCCCAGAGGATCTCCATCTATTCATGTAGCTAAGGCAGCTGGCAGAGCTAAGAAAACTGGCACAAGCTACTCTGTCCACTGGCAGACAGAGATAAACCAGCCAGCACCGCCAGCCCATTTCCATACCATGCCCAGACCCCAAACCCACCTGCCTGCAGCCTGAGAGGCATGAGGGCTCCAGATATTGCTGGTGCTGTTCAGCCACAGCCTTCTCAGCAACAGGAGACGCAAGGCAGGGCAGTGTTGGGAAAGCGTCTAAAAGCCAAGGGTTGGGTTATCAAGCCAGGTGCCTTAATGAAATGGGCAAGTCATCCTCCCTCAGGGCGAGGCTGAGCATCACTTTTCATTGGTAGATCTCAAAGCGCTTCATTACCCCCATTTCACAGATGGGGAAACTGAGGCACACAGAAATCAAGTGAATTCCCTAATGTCACCCAGAAGTCTAGTGGCAGAGCCCAGAACAGGTTTCCTGAGTCCCCGCCCAGCACTCTATCCCCTAGGCAACACTGCCTCTGGACTCAACACCCGCCTGTTGCCAGCCAGGATGTTCATGGCTATAACGGACACATTGCACTCTCTGCTCCGGGCAGCATCACCAGAGCTGTGAGTGCATGTGGCAGACACTGAAGAGACTCTGCGTTTGCTCCCCCAACAACCAGTTCTGCATCCACAGAGCCAGACATCTCCTCCCCACTCAGAGAAATCTTATCTGTGAAGTAACCTGAACATGCCTCACTCTGCAAACACCTAATCCTGTCTCTGGGTACAGCCTACTCAGGTTAACTGGGCTCTCTGCTGCCCAGGATTGGCCTTTGCCATTATGGGGCTGGAGGCACGGTACCAGTCCGCCCCCTGCTGCCCAGCCCGGGGTACGAGTCCTAAGACCCAGTTCCAAACAGGACTTCTGCCACAAGCACGCCAGCTATCATCTAGTACAGAGGCTCACTTCTGCCCCTGCCTGTGATCCTGACTGGAGCAGGTGGGGGGGGGTCTCCAGGTTTTATGGCTGGTAAATACTGCTGCACATACGGCATTAGACACCCAGATCCTTTATTTATACACAGAACAGGCGCAGTGTGGGTCAGCCTTCCACACAGACCCACCCCCCGTCTCAACCCTGCTTGGCGGGCTCTCTTTCAGGGGCGACTTTGGAGCTCAGCCTCCCAGGCCCACTCATTCCCTTGCCTCTCTGCAGAGGGGCCAGTCAGCGGCAGCCGTTTCCTGCAGCTCCATTAGGTTCTGCACAGAGTTCATCAGGTCACTTCCCAAAGTGTCACCACATATTATAGCTAGCAGAGGATACCAATGACCCCGGGCCACTGGTACACTTGGGGCCAACCCTAGGGAAAATGGCACCTGGGTTAGGATGACCAGATGTCCCGACTTTATAGGGACAATCCCAATTTTTGGGTCTTTTCTTATATAGAGTCCTATTACCCCCTCCAGCCCCATCCCGATTTTTCACATTTGCTCTCTGGTGACCCTAGCCTGAGTCATCTTGTATTTTGGCACCCCTGGACCCCGCTGCCTCCCTATTGCCTCCCCACCATCACCCCATCCCCCAATGCCTCCCACCCATCCCCGCATCGACCCTGGACCACGCTGCCTCCCTGGGCACCAGCCCCTCTGCCTCTTCCTTCCTCCATTGCCCCAAGCTCCCTTCTGTGACCTCTCACCCCAGGCCCGCCCTGCTCTTTGCCTCTTGAGCATGGTGCCCCTCTGACCATGGCACCCTGGGTGGTCTTCCCAGTCACCCAACCATAAGGCTGGCCCTGGGTGCACTGGCCAGGGACCCAAACTTAAAGGTTCTGTCTCATCACCCTTCCCCTGAACCATCCAATCTCCCAGACAAGGTGGCTGGAACGAGGTGTGAACTATGCCAGTTTAGCCTCCGTGAGCAGCTATACACTGGCCTCGTCTGTCCTGGGGCTGGGCCCCAATTTCAGCCATCAGTGGCCTGCCCCAGGAGAAGCTCCAACTGTTGAAACCTTTGGACTAGACGAGCTAAACTGCTCTTAGCCATGCCTGGCTCTGGAGCAGGGCTCACCGCAGTTTATGCCAGTGCCGTCAGAGCTGAAAGAAATGTGCAAGGTAGATGGCCTCATCTCTCTCTACAGCTTCCCTAAAGTGGGTCAACAAAATGCAAAAAGTGACCACAGTGGAGATTTTGAGTCACAAAACATTTATTTCCTCTTGCTTGCTCCCCATGTGCAGAATTTCAAAACTGCATTTAACCAAGGGGAAAAACCAGAAAAGGAAGTCACTTATCACAATGTATCTGAGCTGCAGTGAGTGAATATCTGTTAAGTGAAAGTTTGGTTAGAAAAAGGCCAAACAGATATTGAGATGCGATCACAGTATGTCTGAAGGAGCCGTAAGCAAAGCCACCAACGTGTACAATACAACCACACAGCTCCCCATCTAGCCAGCGGCCCAGAGCTTGGTCTATATTTCAAAGCATTTTATAGAGGTCTAGACGCGAGAGCCCCATTGACCTTAATGAAAGTGGCACTAAATTATCCAGGTGGTAATTTAATAATTCAGGGGATAATGCTTGGCATATCCAGCTATGTTTCTGATGAATGTAGCAAAACATCTTCATCTGAATATCTACTGGGGTATTTATTGGCATATTTCACTCATTCACAGCACATGGTGACGCGGCCAATTTGCACTTCCCATTGAGTTCATATAGCAGAGCGTAGTCTAATCCAAAGTATGGTGGGTTCACACTTAATAAAACACCAAAGGGAAGATTAAGAAACAGTTTAACATTTTTAGCAATGACTTAGAAGAAAACAAAAGCATCACCGAAAGTTTGCAGATGACACAAAAATTGGGAGAGTGATATATAACGAAGAGGACAGGTCACTGATACAGAGAGATCTGGATTGCTTGGTAAACTGGGCGCAACTAAACAATATGTGTTTTAATACAGCTAAATGTAAATGGATACATCTGGGAACAAAGGCGGCAGGCCATATTTACATGATGGGAGATTCTAACCTAGGAAGCAGGGACACTGAAAAAGATTTGGGGGGTGCGGTGGATCATCAGCTGGACATGAGCTCCCAGTGCAATGCTATAGCCACAAGAGCTAATGTGATCATGAGTTGCACGAACAGGGGAATTTCGAGTAGGAGCAGAGAGGTTAATTCCTTCTATATTTGGCACTAGTGAGACCACAGCTGGAATCCTGTGTCCAGTTCTGGTGCCCACAATTCAAGAAGGATGTTGGTAAATGGGAGAGAGTTCAAAGAAGAGCCACAAGAATGATGAAAGGATTAGAAAACCTGCATTACAGTGAGAGACCCAAAGAGCTCCATCTATTTAGTTTAACAAAGTGAAGGGGTGGTTGATCAAAGTCTATAAGTATCTATAGGGGGGAACAAATATTTAATAATGGGCTCTTCAGTCTAGCAGAGGAAGGTCTAACAAGAGCCAATGGCTGGAAGTTGAAGCTAGATACATTCAGACTGGAAATTAGATGTACCTTTTTAACGGTAAGAGTAATTAACCATGGAAACAATTTACCCAAGATCATGGTGGATTCTCCATCACCGGCAATTTTTAAATCCAGATGGGATGTTTTTTCTAACAGCTGTGCTCTAGGGATTATTGTGGGCAGTTCTCTGGCTTGTGTGACACAGAAGATCTCACACTGGTCTCTTCTGGCCTTGGAATCTGTGAGGGAGCGTAAATCTGGTGAGAGATGTCTAAGGATTCAGTCCAGCTAACACCTTAACCTTGCCTCTGCTGCTTCCTACTGCGAGGAGTTCCGCTGACTGCAATGAGCATGCCCAGCGTAGCCAGCAGTGCACCCAGGAGTAAAGTGCCTGCAGAAATAGGCCCGTACTCATAGCATCTAAGCACTATAAGGTGGCTAATGGGATTTGGGAGCTTTCTAAGGAGATCAGAACCTGCACCATGGCCCTGAGTCAGGAAAGAACATGAGCCACACGAATTTGAAGCATGTGTTTAAGTGCTATATTGCCCACAGCTGCTTTCCTGACCTGGATCTAATAGCATCACTAACGCTACCACAGCATTTCCTTGGGGCCATATGCTGCGTGGGACCATATTTGTTAGTGCAATGCCCAATCCTACGTAAACCCATGTGACTGGGTCACAGGACCCTTGACGGTTGGCCCCGATGCAGGGGCTGGAGCTCCTTTTGGGATGGGTACCTAGTGATGCTGGCACAGAGATTCCGAGAGCAGGGGCTCACCCTGCCCTCCTCTGCTCTGAGTTTGTAGCAGGGGCTGGCTTTGACCTTTTGCTGGATCTTAAACAGCAAACGCTTTGCTCCCAACTATGTGTTGAGTGTTTGTGTTAACTGGAGGTTAATAAAAAACAAGACCATAAAAACCAGCCTGGCTAAATATCCCATCCCCTCTCAACTGCTCAGGATTTGCTTCCTTGGTGCCGGTGATGTCATAATGCCACGAGTTCTGGAGTCACCAGAGAGTCTCCCAGAAAAAGGAGAGTAGACACTACTTTAATTTCTAGGACTAAAAAGAAGGAAGCAATATCGTTTGGGGTGAAGGGGGGAACCTCTGCGGCCTTCGTCATCCATCGCATACTTCGAGTGTCTTCCCATCGCAGGCAGCTATTAGGTCAGAATCCTATTAAAATAGAACTCAGTGATCTCTGTCTCGCCCATGCGGTTGGTGATGCGGATGGGCTCGCTGTTCTTCTGGGAGGTGCAGAGAAACCAGCCCGGGTAGGCGGCTGACTCGAAGCGGTGGGTGCTGCCTTCAGGAGTGTTGTGGAAAGTGAAGCGAGCGGCTTGCTCCTTGTCTTCAAATAATTCCATGATTTGCTTATTCTGAGCGGGGAAGAGAAAGGAAGATGCTGTTGCAGGAAGCTGGATTATTTCCTGGGAACAACATTCCCTGGGCGTTTAGCCCTTAGTTCTGCTGACTGATCAGGAGTTCTGCAAGTGTCTCTGTTATTCCTAACCAGTCTCAGGACCAGCTAGGATAACAATTATCAGCCTACTGGTTATTTGTGCATGGCTCGCTGTCTGCGACTGGTCATCAAAGTCACACGCTACTGATCCTGTTCGCTGATTGGCTGAATGTAGTTTTATAAACAGGGGACTAAGAAATCGCAAATATCCCTAATGGCAGGTGACAATGTCTAGCCCTTCCCCAAACATTTATGGGAACATAAGCCCACTTGTAGCAGAGGCTTACACGCCTCTGGCTTTGGGCCTGTCTGCTGCCTCAGTTTCCCTTTCCTCCCCAGTTAACTGAACTTCACACTGCCAGTGTTTTCTCACTAACTCTCCCCTTCCGGGAGTCTGGTTTATTAGCACAAAGTTCTAAACACACAGATCTTCCCCCAGCCTTCCTAGGGGGCTCACCACCTTGGGCCCAGGCTCTGAGTCCTCTCCCTGCTGAGCCGTCCTTCCTAGCAGGTCTCTCTCCCAGCTCTTCTAGCTCTGCAGAGACCCTCTGCCTAGGTCTCCTTGCTGGCTCTTTCCTAGGAGTGGAGCGAGCATCCATCCCCAGGGCTGCTCTCCCTGCAGTCTCCTCTGATTGCCCTCATATCCCCCATCAGGCCTTGTACACCCCATCACATGACCTTGGTCTTCATTCCCTCCACCCTGGCAGGGTCAGATCAAGACTAAAGGTCAGATCGCTCTGTGACTCTGTCCATACAGATGCTCATGAACCGTGCATCGCATGGGGCCACAAACATGGCAAATGGGGCAACAGTTCAGAGCTCCAATGCATTTTATTGAGCTCTGGGGAGAGAAGATTCCTCCATCACCTCCACTCCTGTCGGTGGCAAGGACAAATCCCGTTGAAAGTGAAAACAGTCAGTGCCAGCCTGTGGTTTCAAGGCCTGGACAAGTGAGATCAGAAGCTGAGGGGCAGGGTCTGGACCCTGATTCCTCCTGCCCCCTTTGTGTCTCCAAGATGGAGCTGGGTCTTGGGCAGGGTCTCCTGCCCCTTAGCTTCTTGCTGCCCCCTGATGGGCACACGGGCCCCACTCACCAAGCTCCCACATGGACAGCCTTATCCGAGAACCACGTCCACCCCACTCAGCCCCCAGCACTTGTCTGATCCACGAGGAGCCCCGCAACGGCCAGACCGGAGCAGCCCACGGCTTCGGCTACTTCAGAATCCCGTCCCTGGTGGGGGCCAGGAGCAGCCACCTCAGAGGAAGGTGCAAATTCTGTTCCTCAAGGCTGGTAACTCCCGTGCTGAGGACACTCACCTCCAGCTGCAGGTTGGGTTGGGCCGATGTTCCGCATGACAGGCAGCTACTTCCTCCCTGGACGCCCAGGATGATGGGATACTGTTTGCCCTGTACGAACCGGTTGGGCACCACACTGAGTTTCTCTGCAAGGCGAACACGAGAGGACTCAGGTCTCTAGACTGCCAAGAGTCACTTTACCACAGGGGCACACACATGGCAGGGGGAGGCAGCATTAATCCACCCCCCCAAGGAGCAACCATGCGGGCAGCCTTTGAACCACAGACCTGGCAGCCTCCTGCCCCACCCTGCCTCCTGCTCTGCATCGAGACCCCTAGCAGAATCCGCGGGGCTAGGGAGAGCAAGAGGCTCTGCACTCAGATTTCCTCCTTGCCGGGCACCGCCCCGGAGAGGTAGGGTGACCAGATGTCCCGATTTTATAGGGACAGTCCCGATATTTGAGGCTTTTTCTTATATAGAAGCCTATTACCTCCCCGTCCCGATTTTTCACACTTGCTGTCTGGTCACCACAAGGAGAGGGCAACACGGCCCTCAACCCCTCTCTGCCTCAGTTGGGGGAAAACAGCAGGACAGCCAGCGGGAGTGGGAAACGAGAGGGGGTGTGGAGCTCACCGGGTTCCGAGTTGGAGGTCTCGGCCACAAGATTGTTGCTCTGCAAGCGGACGACCTTCTGCTTGACGTCACGCAGGGTGAAGATGAACGGCGTGGGGAGGTCCATAATAGTGGAACTACCTTCCTCTGGATGATGGGGAAAGGCAAAACGTTAATGCAGGACCTTAACTGTAGAAATTCTCCTATGGTGACGAGGATGTCCGTAGTAAAGGGATCTGCCCCCCGGCAGCCCCATAGCTCCTTGCACTCCTCCCATCCATTGCCCTGCAATGTCATGGCATTGCCCGGCGCCCCATGATCCCTCAGTGTGCACGGTGAATTCAGCTTCTTCCCTCTTAACTTGTCCCCTATAAACTATCCCAGGGAGAGCTCCTGCAAGGAAGCAGGTAACTGCCTAGGGCTTGCTGCTGCCCCTGCATCCCGGTCCCCGGGCCGAGCTCCAATGATACAGACCGGACTCTAAGAAATTGTATCTCCCTTTTTCTGAGAGTTTTCCCCTGAGATATGACCATAAAGCAAGCTTCTAGATCCCAGGGGAGATGGTTTAGATTGCACATAATTCAGGGCACTGGGGCCAGATTCTGTTCTCAGTGATGCTCCTGTAAACTGGGGATGCAAGCAGAGGTACTGGAACAATTTGTATAGTGGGAGTGCTGAGATCCATTGAACTACACTGTAAACCAGGAGGTGCGGCAGAACACACGCTCCCTTAATTCCAGCAGCACCTATTGGTGCAAGGCCTGTTGTCTGACCCTGCCATGCCCCTCCTTGGTGCTGGGCTGAGGACAGGGCCAGTGCAACCATTTAGGCAAACTAGGGCGCCTAGTGGTTGGGGGTGCCTAAAAGCCCGCTCAGGCGAGGAGGTGGAGTGGAGGTGAGCTGGGACGGGGGGGCGCGGGGAGGGCAGCCCTCAGTAATGGGGGGGGGGGCGCACAGGGGAACCGCTCCCCGCCCCAGATCACCTCCACTCTGCCTCCTCCGCTGAGCACACAGCCCCCGCTCTAATTCTCCTCCAATCGGCGCCGCAAGCCTGGGAGGGGAGGAGAATTAGAGCAGCGCTGGCATGCTAAGCGGAGAAGGCAGAGCCGAGGTGAGCTGGAGCGGGCTCCCCGGGCGGAGTTAGCTGCCACGGGGAGGCCTCCCCGGGCGAGGGGAGTGGCGAGCTGCTGCGGGGCAGGGGTGACTGGGTTAGCTGCCACGGGGGGGTGGAGTTAGCTGGGTGAGGGGGGTGGGCGCAAGGTGGAAGTTTCGCCTAGGGCGCAAAACTTCCTTGCACCGGCCCTGGCCAAGGACAAGAGTGAGCAGGAATTTGGCTGATGAGAAGGCACAAAAAGGAGTTTTGCCAGGGAGCCCTCTCAGGCCCCGAGATTCTCCTTTATCTGGAGCCCGCGCCCAGAGACTCACCTTTCGGAATGAATGTGTCGAACAAAACCTTCATGTCTTTGTCCTGATTCCCAAGGGGTTCACTCGGCTGTCCCCCTGACCCTGCTCCTGGCTGGAATGCCATTGTGGTGGACGTGTGCCCGGTGCCTGTCGTGTCCTGGTGGGAGTGGGGTGGCTGGGAAGAACAGATGGACACCAGCTCTCAGGCAGGCTAGTCCCATGGAGGGAGCCCCATTGGCCCTGCTGAGCCAAAATAGGGGCAGAGCAGGGCCCATCTTTGGCCCACTGCCCCCTTCAGATCTTGGCAGCCAGCAGCACATGGCATGGGGTGTGCAGGGGTGGGAGTGAGCCCCACCTGCCAAGCAACCTGATTGGCTTGGATCTTGATGGACAGCAAATCAGGGCTTGTTCCTCATCTCACCTCCCTTGGCGCAGCTCCAGGGCAGCTCCCCATGGAATCGCCAAAGGGGCCGCCCACCCCATGGCTGTGGCAAGAGGAAGGCCGTGGACTGGCCACTGGCAATGCTGCTGGGGGTGGGATGCTTCCCCGCTAGGGCCCGGCCCAGGTTGCAGCCGTGGGGGTTACGGGTCGTGACCCCTCTCTGCCGCTCTGAGAAGGCTCCGGACTGGCTAGCTGGGGCCAGGTTGTCACCCCAGCTGCACCGACAGGGCTTGGCCAACCCAGGCTGCCCTACGCAGGAGGATCCAGGCCTCACAGCGCTCGTTAGCTGCTGGCAGGATGTGCTGGGCAATGGGGGTTTCTCCAGTCAGGCTGGAGCCAGGGAATGACAGACACCAGGGTCAGTTAGTAACTGACCCCCCCTTAACCCAGTGGGCCACTGGCAATCTCACCCCTCGCTGCTCTGCCCCCGACAGGCCCCTGGGGGTAGAGCCAGGGAACAGCCCCTGCAGAGCGTGCCCCAGAGCAGGTCCAGGAGGCCAGGCTGGGTCCCCACCAAGAGGCTGTGCCCCTTTGGGACCCACTATGACCCAGCGATCTGCGTATCTGGCTGCCCCTGCCCCTGGACTCGGCCGGGACTCTCAGCCATTTATACACGGGGCAGGGTGACATGAGCACAGATCAGTACCGTGTGTGTGGAGGCCGATCCTGCCGCAGAGACGGGGCCCTCAGGGTCACTGGAGAAAGAACAAGGAGCCGTGAGATTTCTCTCCCTTGGGTCTCAGACACGGGAGCTGCGTCTGCATCGCTCCCAGTTTACGCCTTGGTAGGAAATTACTATCTGAGATCGTGAGCGCAGACACTCTGCTGCCCTCCCAGCCCCCCTCCAGGCCCACTGCCCCCTGTGCTGCTAGTTCGACTGCTCTCCCATGATGGGGGCAGGGAGAGATCTGATCAATTCTGGAATTTAGTACTCAGAAATTCCTTCATTTCTTCAACCCTCCGTCTCCCATAGCTAGCTTCTCTACCTTACAATGTCTCTTTCTCAAGATGTGATATATGCAATCGGTACCATGGTGTAGTAACACACTCCACCCCGCCCCAGAGGTACAGCCACACCAGAGTTTATATCCACATCTGCTGTGTTAATATTGCAAAACGCCGCGATGGATGCAGCATTTCTTGCCAGAGCCACGGAGTCTAAAGTGCTGCTGTCTCCTAAAAGTGTTGTCTATACAATGGTGTAGTGGGGCGGCTCCCCCACTCCCGTGGGAAAAAGATTAAAGTCAGCCCTGGGAGAAGGTTGTGGCTGAGAGCTGCTAAGCTGGGCTGCTTGGGGAAGCTGCTGAACTTGGGCCATGCCCCAATCAGGCCACAGCTGGCCTGTATAAAAAGACTGTGAGGGAGGGACCCAGAAGAAGTCTGTCTCCAGGGTGGGAGACAGAGCAGGACCTGGCTGCCTGCAGAAAGGGTACTGGGAGTGAAGCAGGGCTAGAGAGAGCCAGGGGAGCTCCAGGCTGGCAACTCCCCAGGCTGCAGGGCCTGGTCCAAGGCCCATAGAGGTACTGGGAGGCAGCAGGTCTGAACCCCCTTGCCTATGATGAGTGGCTTTTACACTGCAGTCTGCCCCAGGGAGCAGGGGCTGGGTGATGACTGGCAGTAGCCCAGACTGAGGCAAGATGGGGATTAGAGGGTTGGAGGTTTCCCAGAGAGGGGAGACCCATAGAGACTGGTGAGGTATTGCCAGGGAGCAGGGGCAGCCCCAGGGTAAAGGGGCACCAGGGTCCGGGAGGAACATGGGGCCAGCTACAAGCGGGACACTGGCCTGCAGAGGGCACCCATGCTGGAAAAGAGCTAATTCCCTGAGATGACGAGTAGGAGGCGCTGCATGGGGTGAGTCCCGCACCTTTACAAATGGGAACAGATTTACCTGGAGACTGTCCTCGGATCTGTTGGTTTTGTGAGATCTCTTGGCAGGGCGTATTCTGAAAAGGAAAGAGAGAATTGTTTCTTTATGCTCCCCCATCTTTCTGTATCCACCTGCTCTTACTTGGCTTATACTTAGATTATCAGCTCTTTGGGCTGTCTGTACAGCACCTAGCACAGCAGGAGACTGGGCCGGGACTCGTGCTCCTAGGTGCTACCACAATATAAATAAAATAATAGAAAAGCATCCAGAGGACAAGCACAGTAACAAGCAAAGCTAGAGGAAGGGCCCAAACCATCTTGGGTGTTGCTGAAGGCCCAGGGGCTAGCAGTGGAGGAGAGGAATATTCCCAGCAGCAGAGCTGTCAACAGCAATACCTGTTGGGCATCTAGTTTGAAGCTCCTTCTGTCACAGGCAGGCTCAGGCTGAGCTCTCTATAGCGATCACCCAGCTATTTATACTGGGAGGGGTGGGTCTCATGGGAGTGACTTCTACATGCAAATAACCCATGCATTAGGAAATCCAGCATGTCTAAATGATCCTTCTGGACCAACTGGTGGAGTAGTTGAAAAGAGCCAGATACCAACTCATCCGGGAGACTCACTCGGCAGATCCCCAACCAGGCTGGCTTCATGTAGCAGATGTCCCACTGTAGCTAATCGGCCACAGATAACTCATTGTAGCCCACTGGTGGGAGCACTAGGTCGGAGCACGCTGAGTCACTGCACTGAGGGCCCGATCCAGTGCCCAGTATTCAATGGCAGTATGCCCACTGGCTCAGTGAAGAACACTACAATCGCAGCATCACATCCGGAGGGTGCTTGTCTCCTTTGGTTGTTTACTAATTGTTCCCCCCGACCCAGTTTCCTATTGCTTGCTGAGCTTGGCAGGCCCAGGACTCCTGTAGTGGTCCCAGCAGCAGCAAAGCTGCAATCATGTGACCACTGGTGAGCTTGGACTAGGAGATGCCATGGGGAGTCTCTGGTGTGGGTGTGTAACCCACTGGTGAGTGCTTGTTCCAGATCCCCTCCGTGCCCGATCCACAGAGGAGAGGAGCCTGGGATGGCCCCAGCAAAGATATGAGGCTAGGCCAGGTCGGAAGGTCCCGAGGCGATGACAATTCCCCATGGAGGGTTATGCTTGAGATCGGTCAGCGAGCCGGTATTTAATAGGGACTCACACAAAGGACTGATGAACCATCCCAGCTGGGGTGTTCCAGAGACTTGATTTGAACCTGCAGTTTATTCTATCGCTGCTACAAGCCTGAACCAAGAACTTGGCCATTACTGTATGGAACTGATTCCATTTAACTAATTCTAGCTCATCTATATTTTTTTTCCTTTTATGAATAAACCTTTAGATTTTAGATTCTAAAGGATTGGCAACAGCGTGATTTGTGGGTAAGATCTGACTTGTATATTGACCTGGGTCTGGGGCTTGGTCCTTTGGGATCAGGAGAACCTTTTTTCTTTTACTGGGGTATTGGTTTTCATAACCATTCATCCCCATAACGAGTGGCACTGATGGTGATACTGGGAAATTGGAGTGTCTAAGGGAATTGCTTGTGTGACTTGTGGTTAGCCAGTGGGGCGAAACCAAAGTCCTCTCTGTCTGGCTGGTTTGGTTTACCTTAGAGGAGGAAAAACCCCAGCCTTGGCCCCAGCCCTGCTTTAAGCAATTTGTCCTGAATTGGCACTCTCAGTTGGGTCCTGCCAGAACCAGCATCATTACCAGCAGAGATGAGGTTTGGGGTGAAGAAGGGGCTCAGGCCTGGGGCAGGGGCTTGGGGTGTTGAGGGGGTGCAGGCTCCAGTAGTTTGGTTACAAGAGGGGACTCTGGACTGGAGCAGGGGGTTGGGGTGCGGGAGGGGGTTCAGGATGCAGGGTCCCAGTAGCGCTTACCCAGGAAGTGGCCACCAGGTCCCTGCAGTGCAGCCCCTAGGCGTATGGGTGGCCAGGGAGGCTCTGCGTGCTGCCCGCAGGTGTCGCCCCTGCAGCTCCCATTGGTCACGGTTCCTGGGCAATGGGAGTTGTAGAGCTGGCACTAGGGTCGGGGGCAGCACACGGAGTATCCCTGGCTGCCCATGTGCCTAGGGGCCGCAAGGACCTGGTGGCCGTTTCCAGGAGCTGTGCGGAGCTAGGGCAGGCAGAGAGCCTGCCTTAGTCGAAAGCCCCTGCTGTGCCGCTGACCAGACTTTTAACGGCCCAGTTGACGATGCCGACCGGAGCTGCCAGGGTCCCTTTTTGACTAGGTGTTCCAGTCGAAAACCAGACATCTGGCAACCCTATTCCGAACAGCATCTCCGAGCAGCTGGCCCCTCCCATGCGTTTGTCATCTTCCTCATCACTGCGGAAGGCAGGACGGAGCAGAGTCTACGCAACATGAACAACTCAGGGCTTGAAGGGGAGACCAGCCCACTAACTCAGCCTGCTTGCTCAAGTTAAACTGGTGCAGCAATAGCCATACAAAGAGTTGTAAACACTTGGCCTGCCTGTGCGTGCTTCATTTCCTTAGCTGTCAGGATTCAACGAGTTTCCTACTCATCCTGAGAGTCATCCTGGACAGGGCGAGGCCTGAATTTTGTCATCTGCCTCTGAACTTGTAGTGGAGAATCAAACACAAAACACCTGCAAAACAAACACCTCTCAGGTCTTCACCTACTGCAAAGGAGCCAAAGCCCCATTTTTTTTTTTTGTATCAGAGGGGTAGCCG